CCGCTCGGCCGGGGTCCCGCGCTGGGGTCGTGGCCGTGCGCGCGTGGGCCGAGGAGCGCGCGCCCCGCGGGGTCGGGGCCGGACGCGGTGACACTTGCGCCCGCTGCCCGGCCGGCGGGTCCCGTCGAATCTCAGGAAGCGGACTTTGGTTTCGGGGGCGGGCGGGAGGCGCCCCGTTGTGTGGAGTCGCGCTGAGTCCACGCGCGCGGGGGGGCGAGTCCTGGGCCCCGGCTGCCCCGCGCGCCCGCGCCTCCCGCCCTGAGGTCGGGCCCGGGGTCCGAGGCCCGCGTCTGCGCCCGCGCGTGTGGCGGACTCCGGGGGGCAGCCGTGGGGTGCGGGGGCCGAGCGGCGCGGCCTTCTCTCTGCTCCCAGAACTGGGGACTTAGAGGAAACGAGACTAGTCCACGGACGACCGTGGAGTGTGATGAGCGCTCGAGACGGCTCGGCATCCCGTGGTCCCCGCTGTCACCTGCGGCGTCCCGTTCGGTCCCTGAGGCACCCCGACAGCGCGCGGGGCTGGGGGAGCTGCCTGCCTGCCAGCACCCCAGAATGCTGTTTCCGGGGCGAGCCCCGACGCCCGCACGCTCTCCATGAGGACGATGGTCCTGCTGGTGGAGTCAGGCGCCCCTTCCAGGGCTGCTGGGACACGAGCGTTTCTGGGGGGAGGGTCGCAGGATGTAGGAAGTCGGGTGGCAGGTCGAGAACCATCCATTTTTGTCAGGAAAAAAAGCGTGTCAGGAAGGAGCGAGCCCAAAACGTGAGCAGAGTGTATCGTTACTCTTGCTTTTCTTTTCTGAATTTATCTGCCACAAAACTGTTATTTTTGTCCTAAGAAGTGAATTCAAATGACAGGTGGTTTTTCTATCTTGGCTTTTGAAACCAAAAGGCGTGAAGGTTCTCAACGGACGTTTCCCAGATGAAGCCACAGCCACAGGAGTGTTTGTCACTAGAGAAAATCCGCAGTGCTGGGTACTTAGCGGGAAGAGGGGTGCTGAGCCCTGGAGGCGGCGGGCAGGCCGGCTGTCCTGCGGGAACGAGAACCCGCCCCTGCCAGGGAGCCCCAAAGCCGCTCTGTTCCCTCCCCAGGGACCCAACTCTGGGTTTCTCAAGACCTTGCTCCTGGCCGGCTCGCCTTGTCCGGAGTCTGGACCAGAACAGTGGGGCTTGCACACGATAGAACGAACGATGGCCTGATGTTTTCCAAGGATGGGAAGCGGAGCTGAGACGCTTCCAGGCCCAGCAGCACCGTCCTGTGGCCGTCTGTGTTACAACGCGGGCCGCCTGGCCGTACCTCCCTCCCTCTGGCTACACAGCCAGCATGGAGGAAGGCCTGGGGACGGGTGGGCTCCCGGGGTCCCCAGCGGCAAGGCAGCCAGAGCTGGGAAGACCCGGCATGTAGGCTGGCAGAGCGGGTGTCTCTGGGCTGCGGGGTAGCGACAGTGAGCGCCTTTCGTCGTAGCGAGGAGAGGACCTGCAGCCCTCGCGGAGCCTGACCGTGGGCCGTGTGGGCAGAGCTGGGAAGCAGACCCCTTCAGACAGCTCAGTGCATCACAGATGCACGGCCCCCTGACTGGTGAACTCGGGGTGACCCGTCCTAAAGACACGGTCCTGCGAGTGGCAGGGCCGGACGCCTGCAGGAGCTCTTCACGGCGTTGCCAGAAGTGACGGCATCAGGAAGAAACATGAATGGCGTGAAAGAGGGACGGATCGATCCAGTGTGTGAATGACCACGCATCCTTTCTGGGACAGTCCGCAGGGTCCCGAGGTGCTCAGTGGGGTCACACGCACACATCACCTGAGAGCACCATCTGTTGTCCACTCAGACACGGTGCTAAGTGACAAGAGCAGGGAAGCTAAACACACAATAGGAGAATGGCTGCAGCCCACAGAGGGGCGAAGCTGGAGGGACGGCCCGAACCCTCACAGCTGGGGAGGGAGCCTGGTGCTCAGGTGGCTGGACCTTTCCTGCCACCTGTTGGCAGCTCAGCGTCAGCTCCGCTCGGGCCAGACTCGAACCGCTGTTGCTCAGAGCTCAAACCCTTGAGCGAGCTCTTAGCCAACTGAGCCACTCGGCCGGCCCTATGTGGCTGAACCTTTGAGGCACTGGCAGCGCCCCCTGACTTGACCCCAGAGCACCCTCTCCCCTCACACAGGGCATTCGATGCCACGGTGATGGCTTTGAGAGCAGGCGCTGGCTGGCTGGTGCTGAGCAGCCCCCCCTCCCGCCGGGCGCCAGTGGCACCCTCAGGTGTGACAGCCAGGAATGTCCCTGGACACTGCCCCAGTCCCTAAGGAGGCAAATTGACCTCGCGAGAGCGCTGTTTTGGAGCGTGCTGCCAGTGGCCGCGGCCAGGGCGGCCGGGGCTGTGAGGGCCCCTGCAGCCTGGCAGGTGAGGCTCAGGAGCGGTGCCGGCCCGGCGTTAACGTGAGACGTGCTCTCTGCAGCAACTGAAGCAGCAGCGGGATAAGCTGAAGCAGTACCAGAAGAGGATCACGCAGCAGCTGGAGCGGGAGAGGGAGCTGGCCCGGCAGCTCCTGCGGGACGGCAGGAGGGAGTGAGTGCGCCCGGGCCGGGGGTGGCGCCTGGCACAGGGCTGGGGGCGGCCCAGGAGGCCGGTCGGCTGACACGGCTGCCGGTCACTGTCGGTTCCCTCTGCAGCCGGGCCAAGCTGCTGCTCAAGAAGAAGCGATACCGGGAGCAGCTCTTGGACAAGACGGAAAACCAGATCACCAGCCTGGAGACGATGGTAGGCAGAGCGGGTTGTGCAGGCGGCAGGGAGTCCCCTTCAAGGACCTCCTTGGGCCTCTGAGCCCGAGGCTAAGGAACAGCCCTGGCCTGGGGGTGGAGGAGAATCTGGAACCTGACAGCCTAAGGGAGGGGGGCTGGCTGGCTCTTGCAGGACGGGGGTTGGCAAGCTGGGCCACTTCCAGGTGGCGCGGGGCCGGGCCGAGAGCTGCCCCACTGGCTGAAGGTGTGGGGACAGGGCGCCTGGGCTGCCCCTGGCGTCAGGCCCTGAGCAGTGTGCTCTGCTCTCTGGCTAACCAGAGCTGCTTTAAGCGATTTGTGGGCCTTTAAGTTCCCTGCTGGCCCCTCTCAATCCCGTCTGAACCGGGGGCGGGTGGTGGAGGGAGGCACAGGACAGTCTGACTACCCCAAGGGGAAGCGCTTCAACAGGGATGGCGGCGTCCTAATGCCCCTCGTGGGTCTGGAAGAGGCGGAGGCCCCGACTACATGGGTCTGCGTTGGTCTCCTCCTCAGGTCCAGAGTATTGAGTTCACCCAGATAGAGATGAAGGTGATCGAAGGGCTGCAGTTTGGAAATGAGTGTCTGAATAAAATGCACCAGGTATGTCCTTGGGGGCTGGGGCAGAGGTCAGGGGCAGTGGAACAAGGGGTCTTTCCCCACTCGGCACCCTAGAGGCTGCACCTGCACCCCGGCCATTGGCCCGGAGGTGTTTGTGCCCGGTGGGAGGTGGGAAAGCCAGTCACTGCTGGGAGAGGGTTACGGTCCAGCAGGACAGACTTGAATGTTGCCCTGAGAACGGGCGATGGGCACAAACTGTAAACTGAGTCCACAAATGTTAAAGTGACCAGAGGGAAAGGCTAGTTAGGTGAAGTAATTGGGAGGGCTTCCTGAAGGAGGTGAACACAGCCTGGCCGCAGAGCAGCATGAAGGTGCCACAGGCCCCACACTCTCACTCCTGAGAAATGGCTGGTGGGTGGGACTGGGCAGAGAACCCAGATTATGCTGCTTTTCAGAGTGGCGAGTGTACCTGCCAGTCAAGCAAAAGTGCTGCTTTGAACTTGCCACCCAAAAGAAATCAAGTCACCTGCCTAGAGAAAGAAAAATTTTTTTTTAATTGGGGAACTGGGGGAGGGGAACAGTGTTGGGGAATTGGGGAAGGGACCAGCCAAGTTGTTGTTCTTCAATCTTCGTTGTGGAGGACGCCAGTCACCATCTGGCTGCCTGTTGGCAGCTCATGGCCTCTAAGCTCAAGGTGCTGTGTTCAATCTTAGTTGTGGGTGGGCGTAGCCACCATCCCATGCGGGAGTAGAAACAGCAGCCTTGTTGTTAAGAGCGCACACTCTATCCACTGAGCCCTCTGATCGGCAGCTCAGCTCGAGGTGCCGAGTTCAGTCTTAGTTGCGGGTTGGCAGAGCCCACCATCGAACAGGCAACCTTGTTGTTAGGAGCACGTGCTCTCAGCATCTGAGCCATCCTGCCCCCTGTTGGCAGCTCANAGGGGTAAAAAGTATAACTATTGCACTGTGTTGTACAGCTGAAACTAATTCTAAAAAATGTGTATTTCACAATAAAAAATAATTTTAAAAAAAATGATTGTATCAAACCTGACAGAGGAAGAAACCAACCCTACTGGCTGCCAGTGATAAAATTTGAACTTCACAATGCTTAAGATGTTTCTGATGAAAAATTGGTAGTGATATTGACAAATGTGATGTTTTGATATTTGGAAAACCTGCATAACTCAGTGAAATAATGTTTTATGAATAAAAAATGTATGGTGTGACATACGTGCATGAGTTAAATAATGCATGAATAAAAATCCATTTAAAGTGCAAAATAAATAAATAAATAAATAAAGTTCTTGAACTCGTTTTATTCATCATAAAATTCATACAACTCCTCATTACTTACGGGAAATGCAAATCAAAAAATCTACAACCACTGTATAAGACACACCCAGTTTTTAGACCCCAAATTTTTCAAAAAAGGGTGCGTCTTATACATGGGGAGATACGGTGATTTAGGTGTCTCCCTGGGACATGAGCTGGTAGCCCAGCAGATGGGGGACCAAGATGGCACACTCCCACGGCGGGCAGGGGGTGCTGGCGGGCAGTTCCTCTCCACGGGCTGCCTGGCTCCTCTGACTTGATGGCTGAGCTCCCAAGACACATCGCTGTGTCGCCGTCCGTGACCTGATCTCAAGTCACCAAGCACCGCTGCAGCCCTGAGCAAAGGCTCCGCGGGGGTTCACCTTCTGTGGCCAGCTAGCTCGGTGGCGGCTTCGTCGGTAGCGTGCTGCACCCTGGAAAGCTCTGTGCTGCTCTCTGTCATAGGCCAGGTATGACCACGGGGACAGGTGCCACTATTGAGATGGGACCTTGATTTCAGTAGAGATGACAGGAACCCAGAGCAGCAGGGCTGAGAGCCAGGAGCTACCCACAAGGGCCAGGTGGGCCCGCGCGTTAACGGGCCGCTGGCACGCGCCGATGCTGGGTGCCTCTGCCACGGGCTCTCTGGCTAATCGGGGTGTCCAGAAGAAATACACGGCAGCCACTGTGAAGTGCCTGCCCCTGTAACACACAGAACTCGAGGTCTGGTGGCCAAACCCGGCTGGCGGCACCACGATGGAGAGGCACGGCCTCCCCCAGGCCCCCCGTGCTCGTTCGTGGGCCCTGCACACAGTGGCCATGATGGCGGCGAGGGTGGAGACTGTGCACGGGTCCCTCAGCACGGCTCGCCTGGCCACGTGACCGCTAGCAGCCGACAACCAGCACAGAGCCCCCGAAAGGGTCCACTCCTGGGGACGGGCCAGGCGCCTGACAGCAGCTCGGCTAGTCAGCACCCCTTCCGTCATGGGGCAGTGACTTGTCCTCCCTGGAATAGACACTCGGGACACGGGTTTGGCTTCCTGCTGCCTGCAATGCTATGGCTGCGGCTTCTGGCGCACAACGTCCTCCTCACCAAGGAGGTCATCTCATGGAAAGAGGAGAGGAGATGGCCGCATGCCGTGAGCTTGCTCCTCTTACCACGTGCCGCGGCCAGGAGCTGCTGGGCGGGCAGAAAGGTGGCAATGCCCACACTTGCAGACTCGGTGGCGGGACGGCTGGGGTGACCGACCGGGGCTGGGTGCCGTCCCGTGGGACGCAGGGCGCAGGGCTGCAGGTGTGCCTGGCTCCCGGGGCTGTGCGTGGCGCTTACACCCGGGCGGCTTCTGCCAGGGACACGGAGCCAGAGCTGAGACGGCCACGCCGGGTTCCCACGGGCACTGACCGGCAGGCCTGAGGTCACACGGCGGTGGCCATGCCGTGTGGCCAGGCGGATGCGTGTCAGCGGACCTTCTAAGCCCAACATGTCCCACAGCGTCACTGAATGCAGCGTTTCGTGCTCCACGCCAGCCTGGGCGCAGGGCCTCGTGCATAGGAGTCCGAGGGCGGAGAAAAGGCCGTCCACCCCCCTGGCAGGCAAGGATCCCGCCCAGACAGCTGGGCACGTCCGGGCCTCCTCTGCACCGATGGCGGCGTCTGGGAACGCGCGTCGGACTCGCCAGGCCCTACCGCCCGCTTCCTGCGCCGCGTCTCGGCGGCTCGCGGGCGGAGGACTCGAACCCGGGCCTCCGCCGGCCCCGCCCTCCGCGCGGTTCGCGCTCTGCGGCGCCTGGCTCCGCGCGGCCGCCGTAGGGGGCGGGTCCCGGCTACGGAGGCCGCGGGGNCCTCCACCGTCACCAGGACGACCCGTCTCCAGGCGCGTTCCCCACCATGACCCCTTCTCCCAGGGCGCAGCCGGAGCTGCCTTTAAAAATCCAGGTTAGAACAGCCCCTCCCGGGTGGGCCAGCAGCCTCCCCTGCCCCCCCCCCCGCATGCCCGCTTGTCCCCACATGGTCCCCTCACTGTCGCTCCTGAGACCAGATGCCACTTCCCCAAGGAAGCCTTTCCTGACCCAATCACCCCATCACACCACCAGCTCACCCCATGCCCCCCGCCATATGCTAACCTATGGCAGCTGGGACCCCAGCACCCAGAGCAGAGCTGGGTGACTGCTGAATGACGTGTGTGTGTGTGGGGGGGTGGATGGATGAACAAGCAAACAAGTGAAGGAATGAGTGGATTGAGGGGGGGGCGGATGAGGGGACCGGCGATGACTTCTCCCAGCAGAGGCAGATCCGTGGCAGATGCCCCTGCTCATGTCCAGGCTCTACCCCCACCCCACCTGGTCTTCTCGGACCCGCTTTTCTTTCCTGCAAGGACCCCCAGGGGCCCCTGCCTGCTGACGCCGCTTCGGGGAGCCCGCCCCCTGCCCGAAGCGCCTGCTGCCACGGCCGCAAGGCTGTCCTGCAGCGCCACCGTGTGGCCGCTTCGGGGATCGCCGCTGCCCGCCTCCAGCCTGGGGAGCGTCCAGACCCAGGTTTCCGGGAAGAAGGCGGACGTCCTGTGGCCCCGCGCCCAATGTCCTGGGCCCCATGTGTCTTCTGCTCTCAAGCCCCCAAAAGTTATGTCTCAACCCTTAATCCCCTGCAGCCCGACATCTGCCCTTACCCTGGTCCATCGGGTCACCAGAAGGCCAGGCCTCCCCTGCAGCTTATATGAAGTGATGATTTTATTGTGTTAACAGGTTGAAGTGTGCCCCCCAAAATTCACGTGGAAGTCCTAACCTCCAGCACCTCCAAATGTGACCTTATTTGGAAAGAGGGTCTTTACAGAGGTCATCGAGGTAAAATGATGCCATTAGGGTGCCCTCTTCCAATGTGAAGAGGTGTCCTTATGCAAAGAGGACATGAGGACACACACACCCTCGGGGAGGAGGGCACGTGAAGATGGAGGCACAGAGTGGGTGATGGTTCCACATGCTGAGGGGTGACAAAGATCACCGGCAAACCCCAGCGGCCGGGAGCCGGTGGAGCAGACGCTGCCGCACTCTGACCTTGGACTTGCAGGCTCCCGGCTGAGACAACGAGCTGCTGCTGCTTAAGCCTCCCTGCCTGGGGTAAGCTGTCACAGCCCCCAGGGGCAAGGGACAGAGCTTGGGGCGTGCTGTGGCAAAACGCTTCTGTGTGTCTCCCAGAAGCCGGGTTCTGGGGACCCAAGAAACAGCCGCAGAGCAAGGTTCTGGGGATGGAGGGTGAGCTGACATTTCTGGCTGCACTGGGAAGACTATATCTTCTTAAATGACAAGCCAGGGGCTTTAAATTCTCAGTTCAAGGTAGTCAGAAAATCAAAACTTTAGAGAAAATCTTGTTTCTTGTAGCGGTGCTGTTGTGTCTGAGAACCATTCCCCAAGTTGTATCCTGCGGGCTGTAGAATCACTCCGTAAATTGAGTTCTCAGCCCCCACAGAGCACTGAGTGTGAAAGAACCAGGATGGAGAGAGGGGAGTGGACTAACCGTGACTGCCTGACCCCCACTAAGCCTTGCCTGACAGCGTCCCCCTCACATGAGGACCGTATCTGAGGCCGTCACTTGTCTGTGCAGGGGAAGCTGATACACCCCCACCCCATGGGCCTTCACTGTCCCCAGACCCACACCTGCAGGATTCAGTCACACCCCAAGAACAGCACACCCTGCTGACTCATGGAAGGACAGCCCAGGTGCGTGTGGTGGCCACCG